CTTTTGTGGAAGCCGGTTCCAGATCAGAACTTGAGTTTTGGCTCACGCTGTGTTTACAAAATGGTAGTTTTGTGGAACCGGTTCGACAGAATTGAGTTTTGTGGAACAGGATTGACAGAATGAGTTTTGTGTTCACAAAATTGAGTTTGTGGAACCGGATGACAGAATTGAGTTTGTGTGTTACAAAATTGAGTTTTGTGGTACAGGATTGACAGAATGAGTTTTGTGTTCACAAAATTGGATTTTGTGAGACAGAATTGAGTTTTGTTAGACAAAATTGAGCCCTGTCCTGCATGGCGCCCCGCTCCCCACTATATGTGGCCTTGGGCCCCCGTCATACACTATTCTATTATCACAATACTATATAGGTGGCCTTAGGCCCCCGTCATACATTACTATATATGTGACCTTGTGCCCCCATCATACACTATTATTACAATATTATATAGGTGGCTTTAGTCCCACGTCATACAAATACTATATATGTGGCCTTGGGCCCCCATCATACACTATTGTTACAATTCTATATAGGTGGCCTTAGGCCCCCGTCATACAAATATAACGCCGGCAACACTATATAACGCGCTACTAATAACTTACCGAGTGCTGCACTGGCGCTTGTCTTGTTTTTTCCTATTTAATGCTATATGTATCTATGCCTATGGGTGATGCAATCGGCATATACCATGGTAACTTGTTTTAGCATTACTAAAATACGTAAACAAAAAGAAAATCGGTGGCATAAACAATCATTGCAATACATACATGCATGGTAAACTATAGTTACATAACCTTTGTCAGTAACAGTCTTTAAACTCCTAGTGCAGAGTTTAAACAAATTCTTTGTCCCAATAACATGCATGATAAACAGCCAAGACTATTTTTATTACGAAAGCTCTTATTTCATGATAGTTTAGTGCGAATTTTGTATTTTTATGGGTTTTATATACACCATAGAGTGTACCGTAGCCAGGTTATGTACTGACTTGTATATGCAGCGGGAACCTTACATGCAAGGTCTCCTTCCTATTTCTGAAGTGAGGTCTACTGATAAAATTTTATCATATAAATCTATGCTAGGATAACCCCTCTTCATTTTAAATTCATAATGTTTGCAAAATATGCTTCTTCTCTGGAGATATTGCGCATGCGCGAGCACCGTTTTAAGCGTGCAATACGACCTAAATAATAGTACGTACAATATATACGATATGTATATATAATATACATACGACGCTACATATCTACCACAGATATCAATAGCAACTGGAGAGCTAGCGAGCGCGCGCGTACTAGCCTTACATATTACAAATCTACGTTAAATCCATGTGCATGCTTGTAGGATTGGATATGGAGTGATAAGATTCTGGAACTCGAGACTAGCAAATACTTTCAATATCCCCTACCTAGCGGATCCTGTATCTAGTTTAGGCTATCAATCGGGAGTCATTTTTTATACTTTCTATTTTTTTCATTTAGTGGAGACAAGCACAAAATAATAATATTATAGAAGGGGCTTATAATTATGCAGAAGCACATGTTCAAAAACCTGTGGGGGGCATTTGATATTCTGTCCCCCACCCTTCGAAAAGTGGGGGGGGGGCGTGTCCCCGTGTCCCCATGACATTTGCGCCTATGGACATTGCTATTGGAATCTGAAATACGTATCGATTTTTCTGCTTCGTGGTGTTGAGTTTATTGGTTGATAGAAAAAAATGGGCATCGAAGTGGTTCTCTCAGCTTGTAAGGAAACTACGAATTTTTTGCTTCGCCATCTCTCTTCCAACACGCCAGTCACCTCGGGTGTTTCAGTATCGATCATTACTCGCAGATCCCATAGTACCTACCTATACGCGTATTTCAAGGAGTATAAATGTGTTCGCGTCACTGGCTCACGTGTGATTCACATTCAATTTATGTGTAATTCACGCTTACTTTACACTTACTTCGCCCGTATTTCACACTAACCTTTACGCTCACCTCGCGCGTATTGCACTGACTGCCTCTTTTGAATTATTGTAAACCCGTTTATAGTAAGAACGATCGGTTACCGGGTGATAGTAAAACCAGTTTAAGAGCGAAGGAGTGATGAAAATGAGAGAAAGAGAGAGAGTGAAAGACAAAGATAAAGAGGCAGAGAGAGAGAGAGAGAGAGAGAGAGATGGCGAATGGTCAACTTGCCCCGCTCCTTGGTGATAGAAGTGAGAGAGAGAGAGTGGTGGGCGGGAATAAAGTAGGAGTTTTGCACCCTACAGGCTAGGGCGCTCTCCTAACCATAAGCACAAGTCTACTGATAAGAATTTAGTACAGAAACCTATTTTGAGATATCCCCTGACCATACTAAATGCGTTTTCATCACAAAATATAACTCCTCTGGTGAGATATTGCGCATCCGCAAAGCAGTAACGTAGTCAGGTTATGTAATGACTGGACTGGTATGTGCAGTGGGGACCTTTCATGCAAGGTCTGCTTCCTATTTCTGAAGTGAGGTCTACTGATAAAATTTTATCATATAAATCTATGCTAGAATAACCCCTCTTCATTTTGAATTCATAATGTTTGCAAAATATTCTTCTTCTCGGGAGATATTGCGCATGCGCAAGCACCGTTTCAGACGTGCAGTACGGCCAAAGGAAAAGTACGTAAATATAGCTTGGTGAGGGAGAGAGGGGTGGGAAACTGAGGGAAGGTGGCAGGGAAGACAGTCGAGGGGCGGTGGAAGGAGAAGGAAGCTGAGCGTGCGACAATGGAGACAAAGCGAAGGGCGGGCAGGAATAAAGTAGGAGTTTTGCACCCTACAGGCTAGGGCGCTCTCCTAACTATAAGCACAAGTCTACTGATAAGAATTTATTACAGAAACCTATGTTGAGATATCCCCTGACCATACTAAATGCGTTTTCATCACAAAATATAACTCCTCTGGTGAGATATTGCGCATCCGCAAAACAGTAACGTAGTCAGGTTATGTACTGACTGGTATGTGCAGTGGGTTACCTTTCATGCAAGGTCTGCTTCCTATTTCTGAAGTGAGGTCTACTTATAAAAATTTATTATATAAATCTATGCTAGGATAACCCCTCTTCAGTTTAAATTCACAATTTTTGCAAAATATCATTTTTCTCGGGGGATATTGCGCATGCGCGAGCACCGTTTCAGGGTTCCGTTGTCAGAAACAAAATTAGTCTTAAAATTATTCTTAACATTAACTTTTTCTCTTAGACCGTTGACAGAAACGCTGCGAAGTTACGAGAGTGAAAAATCGTAGCAGATTTCTTCATAACAATACGAAACAAAGTGATGTCGACGGTCTAGGAGAAATTGTTTAATTTTGTTTCTAACAACGGGCCCCATGCTTGCAGTACGGCCTAAATAAAAGTACGTAATATAGCTTGCTGATGAGAGAGAGGGGGTGGGAGACGGAAGGAAGGCGGTAGAGAAAATTGCTGAGGGTAGCGGTAGAAGAAGAAAGAGGCTGAGCGTGGGACAAGGGAGACCAGATAAGAGGAACGGCGGGCGAGGATGAAGTAGCAGTTTTGCACCCTACAGTATAGGGCGCTCTCCTTATTATAAACACAGGTAAGGTCTACTGATAAGAATTTATTACAGATATCGCTGCTAAGATACTCACTAACCAAACTAATTGCATTTTCATCACAAAATAAAACTCCTCTGGTGAGATATTGCGCATGCGCTAAAACAGTAATGTAACCAGGTTATGTACTGAATGGTATATACGCAGCCAGGACCTTACATGCAAGATCTGCTTCCTATTTCTGAAATGAGGTCTGAGGAACTGATGAAATTTTATCATATAAATCTATGATAGGATAACCTCTGCTCATTTTAAATTCATAATGTTTGCAAAATATTACTCATCTCGGGAGATATTGCGCATGCGCGAGCACAGTTTCAGGCTTGCAGTACGGCATAAATAAAAGTACGTATAATATATATACGAATGTAGATATCTACCACAGGTATCAATAGCTACTGGAGAGCTAGCGAGCGCGCGCGTACTAGCTTACCATATAAGCATATCTACCTTAAATCCATGTGCATGCTTGTAGGATTGGATATGGAGCGACAAAATTCTGGAACTCGAGATTTTTTTATTTAGTGGAGACAAGCCCAAAATAACAATATTATAGAAGGGGCTTATAATTATGCAGAAGCCCATGTTTAAAAAACCTGGGATGCATTTGATATTCTGTCCCCAACCCTTCGAAAATTGTGTGTGTGGTGGGGGTGTCGCCATGACATTTGCGCACATGGGCATTGCATTGTATATCTGAAAACACGTATAGATTTTTCTGCTTCGTGGTGTTGAGTTTATTGCCTGGTAGAAAAAAATGGGCATCGAAGTGGTTCACCCAGCTTGTAAGGAAGCACGTGTGATTCACATTCAATTTATGTGTAATTCACGCTTACTTTACACTTACTTCGCCCGTATTTCACACTAAACTTTACGCTCAATTCGCGCGTATTGCACTGACTGCCTCTTTTGAATTATTGTAAACCAGTTTATAGTAAGATCGATCGGATACCAGGTGATAGTAAAACCAGTTCAAGAGCGAGGGAGTGATGGAAATAAGAGAGAGAGAGAGAGAGAGAGAGTGAAAGACAAAGATAACGAGGCAGAGAGAGAGAGAGATGGCGAATGGTCCACTTGCCCCGCTCCTTGGTCCTTTTTACTAATTGTTGAATATAGGATTTTTTCCGCTAGATGTCGCCTTGAAGTCATAACCATCGCGGAACATCACGAGTCTCACCTGCGCATTTCAGTTCACTCACCTGTGGCGACCACGTGATACCGCGGATAGGGGTTGCCGCCCGGCGTCGCTGCTACGCATAACAAGAGCGATAGAAAACAGCGCATGTATTTCAGAAGCGACCGCCTTTAGCATCCGCGAAATGGTTGATATTTGCTGATTCTACTATTTTATGGTGTCCAGCTTAAAATAATGAAGACGAGGATGCTAAAATTCGCCCTGTTTGTGATTTTAGTTGTCATTACTCGGACCATCTGGGCTCAAGGTAAGTTATTCTTATTGTTCGCTTATGTTGACTTATTTGCTCGCTAAAGTCGTAGTAGTACTAATTCTAGTAATAGTAATAGTAATACTAATAATTAATATAGTATTAGTAATACTAATACTATAATATATTCCCTGTACTCTGTAGCTGTAGCCTGTAGTCTGTACATGCACTACGCTGCAGTGTAGAGCAAGAAATACAATATATGTAATTACTACTACCTTGCGTGAACAAAATTGGTCGGTGACGGATTCGTCAGTTCGGCTGTCTGTGATGGCCGGTAATCGCTCCCCCCAAAAAATGTTGCGAAAAGTGCACCAGGTTACTTAATTGTAGTATATATTACTATAGTATTACGTCTACAGAACGTGCAAAACCACGCCGTCTGCATACATACAGTGGCAAAACTATACATGTCAGATTCTGTTCTAGTTTTTGAAGGCGTGTGTAGGCGTGTGTTCGATCCATCCATGGCACGGGGTATCCACAAATTATCAAATTAAAAATGCTATTAAATGCGTTTACGGACATGCGAACGTAAAGGGATGTGAAAACACAGTTTAATTATGGTACATTTATTAGCGATATTCTGTTGCAGTAACATACGAACATGCTGCATCTACGTGGAATGTTCTGTGATTCTTGAAACACTTTTTAACTGTGCGTGGTTGAGAGGGAATACATACTACTGTACATCACAATAGCAGCTACCTGTTTGGCAGGTTTACGTGTCAGTGGCATTTCAGTGTACATGTTGCTCGTGGCATAGAAAATCCTGTACTAGATCTAACAAATTTAGTTATTATGAACAGGTCTGTGTCATGTGAAATCTCATAGTCGATACATTTAGGTGAGATAAACATCAACATACAGATTAAGCCTGATGCTACATCTTGAATAAAAAAATTTTGTGCAAACATATATATTCCTTTTATACCACCAGCTGTGCCATATTCTATACCATATGCATGTGATATATATGTGAAAAACATCAGTTGATAAATCTGGTACATTTAGTTATGATCTAGGGTATATGAATGAGAAGCTAGACAAATAAAAAGGAAAACTACTCTAGAATTTGAGAGAGCATTATGATAATTTTTTCATAAAAGTAGTATGTAATACATATTTCTGTTTACAGACATTCACTCTTATTATTACTTACCAATAAATCTCAAACCATCAATCGTGGAAACTGACATGACATACAACTTGGCTGCTGACTACTTAACTAAATATTGAACTGCTATCATTTATGTCGATGATTGAAACCTATGCTGAAAATGTGCATTAAACCTAGACTATTGATCTCCTTTAAGTTGGTCCAATTATAAGATTGCATCTTGTTATATGATAAGGTTTACACTTTATATATTTGCCTATCAGCACATCTACTAACTCTGAATATGTCATCAGGTAGTATTGCGTACTATATACAGTAATAACACAATCATTAGGGCCCAAAACATTCATTCGCATAAGCTCTCGCTTAGTCTCATAGTTGTGGTATATTCACATGTCCAATTGAGTAATTAAAGCAAGAAATGAGGACAGAAAGAAACCATATATATATGATGATCGTGTGTAATATTTGTGATAAATATAATGGGCTGTTATTGACCAAACCTGAAGCTAAAATTACAAGACACAAATCAGCAATATCCCAAGGAAAGGTTTATATTACAGATAACCTATTATAGTCTGTACGATATTCGTGTTTACATGTAATTATAGAACATCTGAAGGTGATTATGTGCCTTTGGCATATGTGTGTGGGCACGTATGAGTAGATAGGTGTTGTGAATCGATGGTATCACGTTTTTACTTGAAAACATTTTGAAATCAGCCTCAAGGCATAGCTTGGTTGCTGTTTCTTTACAACATCCGGGTGTATAGCCACATGAAGTCACATGGCTATTAGTCGTGACAAAAATGCCGTGTGTACCTGCTTTAAGTTTAAACAGGATACGTGGCTAGCCATCAGTTGTAATTCTTAGAAATCCACTTTGTACAGGTGTGCGTGTTTGGGGGTGTGCGTGAATGGAGGGATGAGAATTACCCAGACAGGGAAATTGATTCCTGGTATCTAATTAACAAGAACTGTAACCACTTCGTTTTTCTCTGAGCTCTACAATAGTAAACATCCACTAGCGTCGCCCACTCGGGTTATTGTCAGAAATGCTAGCTAGTAATATAAGCTTGGAATCTGCTCGGCGTCATACAGTACTGTATGTGTGGTCGTCAGGTCTATGCTCTATGAGTGTGCGCAACTAATAATGTGACCAGTTGGTTCAGCAATGAACAGGTACTGATGATGTGACAAATGTTTATGAAAGAAAACGTTTAGGGGTAAAGTTAAAATTGAAAAGTCGAAATGTAGGTGTTATTAGGTAGAGTATCACCCTACGATCTCAGGTCAGATGCGCGTTCACGTTTATGGTATGGTCTGGCATTTAGCCTTGAAAGATTGCAATTGTTATAAGCGTGTACGTGTGCTGCAGATTTTTGCCGGTGTACTTATTTAGGGAGCGTGCCTCAGTTATTTCAGCATAGATAGCTGAGTGGTGCTGCTGTAAATGTATTTGTGCTTACCTTCCATAAGACTTCCTGAATTCAGTCGCGGGCCGAGTGAAGGGCTGGCTACTATATACGCGATTATTTGTCTTCTGCAACCGAATAATTAACCCAGTAATCAGCAAAAATGGCCTGTCATTTCACATTCCGCGCCAAGTATGCCTCACCGGGTCACCTACATTGACCTGGTGTGTATTTTCTGGGCAATTATTGCGGCGGTTTGGCTGCGAGAGCCGGGTCAACTGTGTAAATGCAGATATCATACAGTGAAGATGTATGTAGACTGCGTGCGTGCGTGTGTGTGCGTGTGTGTGTCGCGCGTGTGTGTGTGTGTCGTGTGTGTGTCGTGTGTGTGCGCGTGCGTGCGTGCGTGCGTGCGTGCGTGTGTGTGTGTCTGTTGTGTCTCTCTCGCTCTTTAGACTGCGTTCGTGAGTGTGTGTGCGTGTGTGACAGTGCGTGCGTGCGTATGTGTGCACGTGTATGTGTACCTATGTGGCGTGGTGTCCTGTGTAGGTGTGTGTGCGAGTCAGTGGGTATTATTTGCAAGGCCTATTGTGCTTTTAGCTAATAGATAGTGTATGCCTCACTGACGTGAGAAATATTTCCCAACAACTTACTACATGCATTTACACCACATAGACAGCGATGCCTGCGCCAGGAGCATTGTACCCGAAACATATTTTATCGTGCAAGAACTGCATGAAGTTGATTTAGTTAGGGATGAGATGCTGGAGAGGGGAATGTGTAAACGCCAGGCGAGCAGGCATGCGTTACACCACCCTGGTAGTTCCGGAATGGATTTTGTGAGATTTTCACCAGTACTTAGCAGAGATTCTAGTCAGTAGTATAGTAGAGTAGCGATTATAAATATTCCCAATAATAAACTATTGAGTACATTGCGCTTACATGCGGTTAGGCATTATACCAATCTGCATGACGAATGTGAACGGCAGCGCCGGCCTCACCATGCCCGGTGGTAAATAAAAGTTTATATGTAAATAGATTACGTATGTATGTAAGCAGTTCAGTAGCTGTGTTTTGTTTACGTACACTCAAAAGTAAGTAATAAAGTGGTGTTACTGCGATTGCTGTGTAAACCAGCGTAAGTACGTACATATTTATTCACTTGAAAATGACGCGTGATTTGTTTACCATGGTCCGTTAGACTCACTCTGGACAGCGTTCTTGCTTGCGGCTCTGTTCAAACGCTCTTGCTTCCAGAAGCGGCTGGTGGAGATAGTCAAATCGACCTGTCTAAATAATTACTGACTGCGGTTTGTGCAACCAACATAAAACACTTAAAAATGATGAACAGCAAGTTTCATGTTGATAAATTGCATAGATCAAAATAGTTCAAAAACCCGTTTGCTAATTAGTGTCTGCTTTATAGAAATATGATAACAAGTTTTCATGAACTAGGCCAAATGGCCTCAACTAGGAACTGTGTTATATGCATAATAATTACGTAAGCAGCCGGCTATACGGAAAACCATTTTCAGGAGCAATATATGTTACTAAATTGCAGTAAAGCATTACCCAATGTAGCTTGCACGGCGGGTGGCTGCATGTCCATGAAACTATAAACATGGCGTAAAATTTTGCCTACAGGTTACTATCTGTCACTGCCATAGAAATATATAGAGTCTACTATATTATTTTTATGGTCACTGTTCACTCTCCCCACTGACCAGCTTTCTATCCACCCCAGTTGGAGGCATACTATTATATAGATATGTGGTAGGGTTATGAAGAGTATATAAGATCCCGGTAGAGGAAGGGAGAGAAACTTGGATATGACACAGTGCTGTGCATGTTATCAGGAGTAGAAGAATAGAGAATATCTAATGACTCTTTCATCTTATCAAATCCAGGAGTAGACTCCTGATATTATCAGGACTGAATAATAATAGATCTATTAATATTCACGCCTGATATTATCAATAGCTAATGATTCTTGGGTATTATTAGCTCTTCATATTATTATATACAAATGGGTGGGGAGCTTGGCTAAGAACATACTATTGCTAGTGGAAAGGCAACATTAACAGAGTAGGGAGAGTCAGCAGCAGAGCAAGTGACCGTGTGTACAGTAATTTGCATGCATTTCCTTACAAGCAGCTCACGAGCAGTCTCGTAGGAACAGACTTTTGTCCAGCCCTGCATACCTTTTACGACTGACCAGTAAACGAGTCGCCCATTCACAAAGATGGCATTAGGAACTCAAGTTCCTGGTAATTGTCTTGCAGGCACTCGTGATTGGTGAGGTCATGCCTTGGGTATAACTAGATAATTTATCCTGTCACCAGGAACGAATATATGTGTCAGTAAGGGTGTTACAATATGAAAGTACGTGTACGGTGGGTTATCTATGTACTAAACGATTGTCTGTGTATTAAACGATGAATAATATTATATCATATGTAACG